CGCGATAAATATCTATCAGTGTAGCCGAAAGCAACCTAACCACCGCCGTCGTTCTCCGTCGCGCGATGGGCCTCACAAACACTCTGTTAGTACCATCGCATGTATAGTCCGATGGTACGAAAGTGCATTCCGTCATGCAACTATAAGAAACCACAGCATCCGCTAAACGACTACGCCAGCCAGTGATGGCGACGACTGCAGCTGGCCAGTCTCGACCAAGTCGCCTATTTTCTCTAACCGACAAGTCCACCGGGTTCAGTTTTATCAACAAAACTGACGCTGAGGTTAGTTTTAGCCCGTCTCCTAGGCGTCACCACCTCCTGCTTTCGCAGTTTTCGCTGCAAGCCGCCAGTGACACCACCATCAACACGTATGGGTAACGGTCCCTGACTCTCGACCACAGACTTCGGCGACGGTTCCAATAAGTTTTTATCCAGGCGGAATTTCTGTTGTCTATCACTGGAGCCGATTTCCTGTCGCATTTTGGCCTTTAATTGATCTCAGTTATCGTAAATTGATTGACTCCAACATCCAACTCTCCACGGTCGTTGTGTCGTATTTCTTGACTCCCCAAACTCTGTATCCGGCAGTAACGCGTACGTCAAAACAAAAGATAACAACTATAAATGTGGTACGGTACTACTACACAAATAGTAAAGGATAAACTAAGTAAAAATCTCAACAATGGATATACACAGTCAGGAACAAAGGGGGTTGGCCAGATCGCCTTAGCCTAGACAAGAGATCAAAGCACTTTCAAATCGTCACGTAGGTCGAAACCGCTCTTGGGAGAAAATGTGTTTGTTAGTGGGAGCAGAGTGACGGCTTTTTCTATGTGACTTCAGGAGGCAGTTCATGTGGTATCTGATTGTTCTGAAACAGTGCGCGGAAATAGGGGAATTTGTGTACAGAGGCCCATAACTGTCTCAGAAAATGGGTAGGGTTTTCAAGTGGTTCTCGGAGCAGTCGTGGCTAAGGGGGTCAATAAGGGGAGTGAGCGGACAGCTGGTTCTCCGTTACAAAGTCACCTCATGTGTCTTCGACTTAGCTAGT